GTGTGGATGTTTTGTAGAATTTCGTTGTCAGGAACCGCCATAATGTGAAGAATAATTTTTCACTTTGTGGATTTTTTTGGAATGGATTTCCTAAGAGCTGCCTTAATGCATTTTCCAAAGAATATTTTTCCAAGGACTATCACAGGCTGTAACTGTATAAGAATATGTTTTTCAAGGATTTTGAATTGTTTAAAAATATTTTTCTTAACATTGCTTTTTTTCGAAAAATCATACAATATTTTTTTTTTCGATTTAATTAAATGTCCTTGAAGTTTTCAACCTCAAAGTCATGATATGAATTTCCTCAAGGATATAATTCTGTTCAGAAAGTACATAAACGGTGCATGGTGTGATGATGATGCTAAGGCCTTCAAAACCTCAGTATTTACCAAAGATTTCCGCATCTATATCGTGATGGCTGATGAAAAATTTCGCATTTGTATCAATAATAGCTTAGAGGTCTCCTATACATATCGGATACGTTTGAATTTGTTAACTCATTTGGAGATAGATGGTGGTCTGAAGGTGGTACGTCAAGTAGATCATCGAAAATATTTTCCATTTGTATGGCCACCGATCCAGGCAATGGAAGAACGTCTTCAATTTAGTGGTGATGTACCGTTGCCATTTAAAGCGGGTCATGTAATGGTGATTGAAGCTGAGCTAAGTGGAAATGAGAAGGGTTCTTTTATTGTCCATTTACGTAATGTCAATGATGTCGAACTACAGGAGCTGCACGTGAGAGTTACATTTAAAACAAAAACTTTTATTTGGAATTCAAAAACGATACCGGATGGGGAGCATTATTGGTAGAGTAGATCACCAAATAAAAGCAAAGCAAGGGAAGGTGGGATAGGTGTATCATCTTGGATATTGATTTTTGTCCTGAAAATCAATCCGCCTATCCAGCTTTCCCTTAGATCTGTTTTGTTTTTTTAATTCATTTATATTATTTCTCATTTCCCTTAGTTTTGGCGAGGAGAAAAAATTACAACATTTTCCATTTGAAAATTTTTTCCAACCATTCAAATTGGCTGTGGCCTTCGGACAAAATGAATTGCTGTTGGCAAAGGATGGTGCCGTTTTATTCGCATTTCCCTATAGGACTCCAGATGTCTTAGCAGTCATTGGCGGTTTGAAAATATTTGGTCTAGATGATCTGAAGATACGAATTGCCGAATTGAATCATATTCAAATGACGGATGTTTCATGTACCGGTTTCGAAAATTATTCGCAATTAGAGATTGTTAATAATTCGAATTAAATAGACAAAAGAAAAAAATTAAAATTTTGGAAATGTTTCTAATAATTACTAAGGAAGAGATATTGAAAAATAATGACGTTTTTACATCGTTAGGGTGGAAATTTATAAAACCATTAATAGTTCGGAAAGCAAAGCCACCTCTTGCCAGACCTAACACACACTTTACAAGACGCTGATATTACCCGAGCTGTTGTATAGAATTGAAGCATGGGAACTTGCGCGAGCAGATGAAGCAGTTATAAGACTGTTTGAGGGGAAAATTCTCCGAAGGATCTATGGGCCGATCTGTATCGACGAATATCATATATTCTCGGACATTGACATGTTCACACGTATCGAGCTGCAGCAACTACGTTGGCTAGGTCATGTTGTGAGAATGTATGAGGATTCCCCCACTCAAATGCATATAAAAGCGAGCCAAGTGATGCTTCACATAGAAGGGGAAGGTCACGAATCCGATGGAAATATCAAGTAGAGGACAATATCTCGGACGCGCTTAGAAATCTTTTTTATACCCTTCAACACACTGTGGTACAGGGTATTATGTCTTTGTGCATATGTTTGTAACAGGCAAAAATAATCGAGATAGACCCATGGTTCCTCTTGAGAATATGCATAGAATCACTTTCTGCGTCGATTTATGCATGTCCGTCCGTTCGTCCGTCTGTCCATGGTGCACCAAAGTCCCTGAAAATCATTTGATTTACACGAATTTTGGCATAGCGTATTGAATTAAGTCTAGAATTACGTGTGCTAAGTTTCGTAAATATATATAGTTTCGCCCGATTTAAGGTAAATGGTGTAGCAAAGTCCCTATATATCTTTCGATTTGCACGAAATTTGGTATACCCTACTGCATTAGGTCTATAATGATGTGTGCTAAGTTTCGTGAAAATTGGTTCAGATTTAGATATAGGTTCCATATATGTTTTCGTCCGATTTAAGGTAAATGGGGTACCAAAGTCCCCATATATCTTTCGATTTGCACGAAATTTGATATAACCTACTGAATTAGGTCTAGAATGACGTCTGCTAAGTTTCGTGAAAATCAGTTCAGATTTAGATATAGCTCCCATATATAGTTTCGCCCGATTTAAGGTAAATGGTGTACCAAAGTCCCTATATATCTTTCGACTTGCACGAAAATTGGTATTCCCTACTGAATTAGGTCTGGAATGATGTTTACTAAGTTTCGTGAATATCGGTTCAGATTTATATATAGCTCCCATATATAGTTTAGTCCGATTTAGGGTAAATGAGGTAGCAAAGTCCCATATATCTTTCGATTTGCAACAAATTTGATATAGCCCACTGAATTAGGTCTAGAATGATGTGTGCTAAGTTTCGTGAAAATCGGTTCAGATTTAGATATAGCTCCCATATATAGTTTCGCCCGATTTTAGGTAAATGGTGCACCAAAGTCCCTGAAAATAATTCGATTTGCTTGAATTGTGGCATAGCGTATTGAATTAAGTCTAGAATGACGTCTGCCAAGTTTCGTGAAAATCGGTTCAGATTTAGATATTGCTTCCATATATAGTTTCGCCCGATTTTAGGTAAATGGTGCACCAAAGTCCCTGCTAATCTTTTGATTGGCATGAATTTTGGTATAGTGTACTAAATTAAGTCTAGAATGATGTGTGCTAAGTTTCGTGAAAATCGGTTCAGATTTAATATAGCTTCTATACATAGTTTCTTCCGATTTTAGGTAAATGGTGTACCAAAGTCTCTGAAAATCATTCGTTTTGTACGAATTTTGGCATAGCGTATTGAATTAAGTCTAGAATGATGTGTACACCTCCTAAATATATTTTCGTCCGATTTTAAGTAAATTGTGCATTAAAGATCCGATTGTGCATTAAAGGCCGATTGACACAACGTATTGAAATTAAGTTTGTGTCAAGTTTGCTTTAAATCGATTTGCACAAATCTGTCCCACTGTGCGCAAAGGACTCTAAACTTGCCCAAATGAAACGAAATTTAGGATAGGTTCCAGAATGACATGAAAATCACATATTTAAGTTCGTTCAATTTCATGTCAAAATTCCTTAAAAAAGGCGACGTCTTTTCGGATACATATGTACCCAAATTGGTGAAGGGTATCATATAGTCGGCCCAGTCCGACTTTACTATTTTCCTTACTGGTTTAGGCTCGGCTTATGGAACAACCGTTCTGCCATAAGCCAGCGAAGTAAGTATGTAATTGTTCGGATCATTTATATAGGCCTATATCTCTGGAAAATATATATATATATTTTTTTTTAAGTCTGGAAAATTTTCTCATACGGGACCCCAGGTCCCCATGTGGTAAATATGTAGTTTGCTAACAGACATCAGAGTAGTTGTCCTGGCTGTAGCAATATTGACTGACCCCCACCATTTTGGTTTATTTCCCGGCTTACCATAAAAATATAGAATAAAAATATCGATTTTATTGCCTATGGGCGACCCATATTTCTGGAGCTGAAAAAAAAGTTATAAACGTGGATTTTTTTCAGTGACTCTAGGCATGGGTATTTATCGTGATCATGTACTCCAATCAACCACAACAACAACTATATATGGTTTTATACCCTCCACCATAGTATGGAGGGTATATTAGTTTTGTTTATGCGTACGTCCCTGGGTCCACGTTTAGGCATAGCTCCCATATAAGGGTATCCCCAAATTTTCGGTATTTTAAGGTTCTTGATCTCGTTTTTCAACCGAATTCGCTGAAATTTTGTACTTTGAGTTCTTATTGGGTAGCAAATTTCCCCACAAAAAATTATAAATATAGGCTAATTTTTTCAGATAGCCCCCATATAAGGGTACCCCCCAAATTTCTGTGTTTTGGGGATCTTGAGCGCGTTTTTTTCAACCGAATTCGCTGATATTTGGTACATTGGGTTCTTATTTAGTGCCAAATATCTATACAAAAAATTATAAACATCGGTCCACTTTTTCTCATAGCCCACATATAAGGGTACCTACCAATTTTCGGTATTGTGAAGTTCTTGAATCCATTTTTCAACCGAATTCGCTGAAATTTGGTACCTTGGGTTCTTATTTGGTGCCAAATATCTAAACTAAAAATTATAAACATCGGTCCACATTTTCTGATAGCCCCCATATAAGGGTACCCCCCAATTTTCGGTATTTTGGGGTTCTTGAGCGCGTTTTTCAACCGAATTTGCTGTAATTTGGTATTTTGTAGTCGTATATGGTAAAAAATCTCCTTACCAAAAATTATTAATATTCACCCTATTATAGGGGTATTCCCCTTTTTTATATTAAAAAAGTTAGCTAATTTGTTCCGTGTGTTGGGGTTATTCCCATATAGCTGTCTACCACCATAGAATTAGGGATATTCTGTAGACGAAATTTTCAGTTCATACCCTGCATAGTATGGAATTCTAAAACGATTTAGTCGAGGTTTGAGAATTAACTATATCGACCAGCATAGCGTGATGCACGGTATTGGGATTCAAAACTAAATTATTAGCTTGGAACTTGAGCCATATCGGTCTTTAATTAGGCATAACCTCTTATATAATGAAAACACCAAGTATTCGCTAATTCCTACACAATGTTGTCAATATTGGTCCCGCTTTATAAAATGGCTCATATAAATTTGACCTCTAAATTGGAGTATTTTCAGGATTTTACATTCATGTTTCACACTACTATGTCAACATATTGGTGTTTTGAGATTTTAGGGAAAGCCCCAATTGAAATTGCTGAAATTTCTATTTGGTTTACAACAATCGATCGGTAGAATTGTAGTTATATGTATATTCTCTATATTTTCATTTCAAAAATTTTTCAGTATTTCTATGGTGGAGGGTATGCAAAGTTAATTTTAACGCTTTTTTACTTGTTTATTTTATTTTTATTTCAATAATCTGAATATTGTTCAAATCCCTTACATTTTGGATTATCCGATAATAAATGATCGATGCCGAGTACACGAACATTCATACCATATTGACCTTTAATTTTCAAACCCGTTAGCCAGGGCAGAACATGTGAAGTGCGATAGCGGTACTTAAAAAGATACACACCATCTTTGGCCATTTTTACAGATTTCGGGGTGAAAGTCAATGCCAAGCGAAATGGTTTTGTCACATCGTCAAAGGGAAAGAGGCCATTGGTCTCTTCATGACCCCATCTGAAAAGGAATGAATCGCATATCTATAATATGTATATCCAGTTGATAAAATGTTCTCTTACTCCAACATATCGGGATTTATGTTATGTTTTTTAACAGGCAATTTTGAATTTCGTATAATTTTCCTCATATTAAATCTTACATTTATGTGTACCTCGATGCGTTTAATATTTTCCGCATGCCGAAAATCCATTCTAAACCAACCATCCATACGACCCATATATTTCATGGTCACCACCATAATATTACCGGCCTGTAGGCGGCATGGTATATCATGACTGAATTGTAGATTATCCTTTTCACATATCTGAGCCGGTGGCCATGTCGTCGTAAAATATTTACGATGATCCACTTGGTTTAATGTAATTAAATTACCCTCGATTGTCAGATGACTTAATTTCATCGTTGACATTTTCTTACAACGAATAAAGTTCAGATTTTGACCATTAATTCCAGCATAAATTTTCCGTTCATCCACAGCGATGGTCACATGAAAATGTTGGCGAAATATCTGCGTGTCATATTCCTCCTCGGAGTGTGCTTCCAACCATTGACCATCCAAACGTTGTTTGAATTCAATTGTTTTCTTCGCAACATCGACAAGGATTTGAAATGGAACATCAACGACTTCCGTTTCTGTGGATTTTCCCATAGCCAATGAAATGCTGAACCTGAAAGGAGAAGGAAATATTTTGGTTTCCTAAAGGATTTCTAATTTTTTGGGTACTTACCATGATTCATCATTTTCCGCCTTGCCCCCTATCTGCAGCAAATGACCAAGGCTAAGATTTTCAATAAGTTTACTCTGAAATAACACCGACATGTTGTTGAACTGCTAGTGGTTGCGTTAATGGTGAATTTATATTCTTCTAGTTAGAATATAAATCGATTTCCTCCACCTAGTTATTTTTTCTTTTCTTTCGAGATTTTTTAAATATAGTTTTAAAGCCACAAAACGCTTATATTTATACCCTCAACATTATGATTAACAAATGTCCGTCCGTCTGTCTGGCCGGCTGGCTGGTGCGTACGATAACTTTCGAAAGGAAGAGAGTAACCAATTCCATCCAAACATTGCACACATCCAATCGACACACATGAGTTAAAGAACCACGGAGGAAGAATAATTTCGAACCTACCTTTTTTTGGCTGACTAGACTTAAACTCCGAGTCGCATAGCGAGAGCAAAAACCGATTTCCCATGTTTAACATTTGTTAAAAATAAAAATAGTTTTCCTGATAGGTTGAACAACCCCCATCAACCTGCTATCAAAGACGACTATCACGAAAATTTATCGACATGAGCCCATATGTAATGGGCTTCATCGGACATGATAATTTTGTTCCAAAATTGCTCCTCATCTTCGGTCATTTCGATGACTCTTTGGGCCCATTCCAATCGACGAGGCTTGTCCGCAGGCAACATTCTTTACGTCAATTGAATTTTGTACGGGAACAAATGCAAGTCAATGCGAATAATCTGTTGTAAAGTGGACCGAGCCATGCCCAACTGCTGAGAACGGCGTTTTTGGGATGTTCTTGGGGACCTCTCAACACTGGCTCGTACGGCAGGCATATTCTTCTCACATTTTTTAATGTTTTTAAAGGCACGTTGAGTTTTCACAATTGACTTTTTCTGTTGAATGTAAATTTTAACTATTTCAGAACGCTCGCGTGGCGTGTATTGGTTCATGGTAAAAATCTGCCTGGACTGACTCGGTATGTCATTAAGCTATGTGACATCTCTGTCAAAAGTTATGGCGTTGCCAGATGGGTCCGTCGAATATGGGTAACCCTGTACGAAAGAGGAATATGACAGCAAACACTGATAACGGCCGCCATTATAAGTAAAGATAGCCTAGAAGCTACATAGGGAGGAGATCAGTGATGCGATCAGAGTAAAAGAAGTCCACTTGTATGTGACCAAGCTCTTGACTAAAGCAGGAAGCTATCTAAGGCCCAAAGTCTAAACTTCTTCTTAGATGGACAGAATATTTGTTCCAAAAGCCGAGCTTAAACAAGATTTCAAGGCGCGTCGGTATTGTGCGCAGCTCATCCAATTTAAAATACCATGTTCCAAGATGTTGTCTTCCACTTAATCTTTAAATCGAATTCGTGGCCTTCAGTTGGCTCACTTTTATATGCCAACGTAGTCGCAGCAGCTCGATACGTCTGACTATGTCGATGTCCTTGAATAAATGGTATAGCTCATTGTTTATTCGACGGCGATATTCGCAGATCGATCCATACATCTTCTGGAGAATTTTTCTCTCAAACACTCTAAGAGCTGCCTTATCTGCTTGTACAAGTATCAGCGTTTTGTAGAGATTCTGGCGAGAGGTGACCTTGCTTTTGAGTTGCTTATTCAGACCATAGTAGCCTCATGTTGGCCAACACTATTCTTCTCCGGATTTTGTTTATGGCGGTACCGACGTATATAAAATGGCTCATTACCTCGAAGCTGTAGTTTTAAAGTTCCACACTTGATCCGAGTCTACTGGACGTCATGCGCGTTAATACCATCAGCTTGGTCTTCTCGCCATTTACTGCCAGTCCCACTTTGGCAGACTCCTTTTCAATTTGTTCAAATTAAATCGATGTCATCGGCGTATGCGAGTAACACATTTGTTTGGTGTACAGAGTGCTTTTTTTGTTCACATTTGCATCTCGTATGACCTTTTCCAGCAGGATGTTAAAAACGTCACACGACAAATTGTCACCTTGTCTGAACCCTCGTTCGGTATTGAAGGGCTCCGAGAGGTCCTTTTCGACTTGAAATGGAGACCTTGTTCCAGTTAAAGTTATCCTGATAGCCGTATTCATTTTTCAGGAATGCCGAACGCAGATGATAGATACCAAGCAACGGCTCTGATTGGCTTTAACATGGCGAAGTCCAGGCTTATCTTGGTCCCTCTTTCATCTCAATTGTGGACACTGACCTCCCCGCGGTGCTATCTGGGGAGCTATTCTCATCACCCGATGAAATAGTGAGCTAATATGTGCCGCGAGTTCACTCATAAGAACTATAAAAAATGGGTTGAGGCGTTGGGTTAGTTGCCCACTCTCGGAAAACCCAATCTACTATGAAAAAGCTAAGAAAAAGAAAACCAAACCCCCCTAATGTTGTCGACCCCCGTAAACGAATAAAGGACCACGATCTGCGAATCTGCACTTGGAATGTGTGCACGTTGTACAGAACAGGCGCAGTGTTCGCTTTGGCGGATATACTCAAGAAGTACAAAGCCGATATTATTGCCTTACAAGAAATGCGATGGAAAGGGACAGGCGTAAGTAAATCAGACGATTACGCCCTGTATTATAGCTGCCATGAAACGAGACATGAATTTGGCTTCGGATTTATGGTTAAAAGGAGAATAAACGACCTTGTCTCCAGATTCACTCCAGTAGATGAGCAAATTTCTATAATTCGTATAAAAGCGAAGTTCTTTTACATCAGTCTAATTTGCGCCCATGCTCGGACCGAAGATAAAGATGAACAGACCAAAGACATATTTTACGAGCACCTAGAAACAGCATATGACCGTTGCCCTGGCCATGACATTAAAATTCTGCTAGGAGATTTTAATGCAAAAATCGGAAGGGAGAATATCTTTGGCCCTACCGTCGGAAAATTCAGCCTACATGAAGAAACATCCGACAACGGCATGAGGCTGATTGACTTCGCGGCAGCAAAAAACATGGTAGTTAGCAGCACCAGATTCAAGCATCTCGATATACACAAGGCCATCTGGATCTCTCCTGATTAAGTAACGAGAAATCAAATGGATCATGTTGTGATAGACGGAATTCATTCATTAAGTGTTTTAGACGTCCGATCGATCGGAGGAGCGAATATCGATTCGGACCATTACCTTGTGGCAGCCAAGGTACGCACCCGTCTTAATGGTGCGATCTAATACAACACGGAAACTCGACGTCGAAAAGCTTCAAACACAACAGGTAGCCGAGGCCTACTCTGCTCAACTTACCCATCTGCTTGAAGAAAGCACTTCTTGTCCCGATAATAGTATAGAAGCACAATGGCAAAGAATTGTCACTCCCTACAAACTGCAGCAAAAAGAACAATTGGGTACCAAAAACCACCACCAAGAAACAAATGGTACGATCAGGAGTGTCGTAATGCTACTGATGTGAAAAACGCAGCGTATAGGGCAACCCTGCAGACAGTAGCAACACGTAATGTGATGGAGAATTTTCGGGAGAAAAATAGAGAGGTGAACGTGAGCAAATCGAGATGTACAGGAGTCATGAAGTCCGGAAATTTTACCAACGAGTAAAACACCAAACCGAAGGTTTTGGTGGAGGCACATCCTCCTGTAGAGATGAAGAAGGAAACCTGGTGACAGATACAGAGAGCGTGTTGAGGATCTGGAAGGAGCATTTCGAAAAGCTTCTAGTATCAAATAGTGGCGATGAAGAAGATACCCCAGAACCAAGATGAAGCCAAGCCAAGATGAAGTCATAAAAGCAATTAATAGGCTCAAGAACAACAAAGCAGCAGGAGCCGATGGGTTACCAGCCGAACTATTCAAGACTGTTGGCCAGATGCTGGTCAGGAGCATCCACCAGCTGATTAGCACAATTTGGCTAGATGAATGCATGCCCAATGATTGGAACCTCAGCATCCTGTGTCCCGTGCACAAAAAGGAGACAAGACGATATGTGCCAACTATAGAGGAATAAGTCTCCTTCCCATCGCATATAAAGTGCTATCCAGTGTGCTGTGTGGACGATTGAAGCCAATGGTCAATGACATCATCGGACCATACCAATGTGGCTTCAGACCTGGCAAATCCACCATTGACCAGATTTTCACTCTGCGCCAAATCCTGGAAAATACTCACGAAAAACACATCGACACATACCAAGACGTCCAGTAGACTCGGACCAACTGTGGAACTTAAGAACTGCAGCTTCGAGGTAGTTAAAGACTTTATATACCTTGGTACCGCCATAAATAAAACGAATGACATCAGTTTTGAAATTCGGAGAAGGATTGTGATGGCCAACAGATGCTACTATGGTCTAAGTAAGCAGTTTAGAAAAAAGGCCACCTCCCGCCAGACCAAACTCACACTTTACAAGATGTTGATACTAGCCGTGCTATTATATGGATCAGAGGCATGGCAGATGAGGCAGCTCTTGGGGTGTTTGAGAGAAAAATTCTCCGCAAGATCTAAGAGCCGATCTGCGTCGACGGTGAATATCGGCGTCGAATGAACCACGAGCTTTACAATTTACACAAGGACATCGACATAGTCAGTCGTATTGAGCTGCAGCGACTACGGTGGCTAGGCCATGTTGTGCGGATGAATGAAAATGCTCCAGCTCAAAAGGCATATAAAAATGAGCCTACTGATGGTTCCCGTAGAAGGGGAAGGCCACGAATTAGATGGAAAGACCAAGTAGTAAACAACATCTTGGAACGTGGTCTTCCAAATTGGTGGACTTCCGCACAAGACCGACGCGCTTGGAAATCTTTTTTAAGCTCGGCTTATGGAACAACCGTTCTTTAACAAGCCAGCTAAGTATGTAAGTAAGAACGCAGACATGGCTTTAAACAACTCTGAGCGGATGTGGCTGTCGAAATCGGCTTTGCAGTGTGAAAACCCGGTCTATACTGGATTTGCCAGGTCTGAAGCCGCATTTATACGATCCACTAATATCATTAACCATTGGCTTCCGTCATTAATACAGCACGCTGGATAGCATTTTTTATGCGATGGGAAGGAGACTTATTCCTTTATAGTTGGCACATATCGGCTTGTCTCCTTTTTTGTGGTCGGGACACAGGATGATGAG